TTTTCTAAGTTCGGTTGTTCTGTTTGTATATAATGATTTAAATAAACATAATGTCGTGATATATAATTAGGTCATAATTTCTTCAATCAAATAAAAAAAAAATCTCATTCTTTTTTATACCCCATCTAGATGTAAACCATTAAATAACTTCATTATGTACAAGTATCATTATTCTTATTTTATATATATATAACATATTTTCAATTACTCAACTTTTGAAATATTTCAAAATTTAAATGATTGCCTCTATTGGTTTAGTTGTTTGACTCCATTTAAAACATAACTCTTTAATTCGCGCACTCATTTTTAATTATATTCACATAATAAAATATTTCGCACTTAAAACAGAACTCTTTAAATTTACACGTGTCACCCGGCTCATCCAACATGGACTGAGCATAATTTCAATTACTATGTACATGACCGAATAAAGTAAAGAGAAAATTTCATATATGAGATATTAAGTATAACAAAATTTCAAAACTAAGAAATAGGGTTTAAAGTTTCAAAAATCGAATATTTATTAAATTTTATTTATGCAATAATTAATTAAAAAATATTAATATCACAATTTTATACAATTTGATCACAAATTATCGAATTAATAAGACAAAATTATTTCTCGAACACGAACCAAAATTTTTATAAGTCACAAATTATTTTATGATCACAAATAAATTTTTTTATAGATCACAATTTATCCATCGATCACAAATTACAAATTTTAGAAGTCATGACTCAAATTTTTAAATTTCATATTATTTATTGGTCACAAGTTATTGATCACAAAATATCCAATTTATTGCTCGGAATCTCAAATAATTGATCACAAAGTAACCAATTTACTGTTTACAATCCATTGAGGATGTGTTTGATGGATATTATTGGAGAAATAATGTATTTTAAATAGTGATATGATGAGAAATATGTGGTTAAAAAGTGAGGAAAAATTATTGGTGTGATGGAAAATATTATTTTTTTTTAAAAATGTGTGGTTGAAAATGAATTGAAAGAATGTATTTTTAAAAAAATGTGTTCCAGATTAAATAATTGGTCAAATATGCATCAAATAATTAACCAATTAATTCTGGTCCCAAACATCCAAGCCATTCCATCGGCCACCACCACCTGCACCACCAAAACCACCATGTCGCCGTCGTTGCACATACTAACAACCACCATACTACAACCACCAAAGAAATCCCCAAACCTGCTACCATCGCCACGACCACTGCAACTGCCCGTATCAACAATCACCACAACCACCTCCTCAAATCCACCATCTCCTTCATCTCTACCACACCACACACCACACTACAACCATCAACACCACACTAAACAATTGAATAAATAATAGAGTTAAACTTGATTTTGAAATTGGAAGTTGAAAAACATGGATGGGTGTAATTTCCACTACCAAAAAACTTAGGATTCTGTCAGTCCAGTAAGGCTGAAGAAATGGAATACACAATACAGACTTAACCAACATTCAGATTTCGAAGTTTACACATTTGAAGAACCAAGAAAATTCAGCAATTTGCCATGTTCTATCACATATTCACCAAACAAATTATCGAGCTGAGTTCTCGATTTTCAATTTTTCATAGAGAATGTAATGAAACCAAAGTATAGAATCCAACTTCAATGAATGCCAGCCTTCTTACCAATAGTTCCTATCCAATGCCTACATCAACCCACTGCAAGTTATATGTACATAAACTACCTTAATCGCTTGGCGATTTAAAGAAGGGCCACGCGTTTATGGTGGATATCATCTTCTTTCTGTTGGTGATGATTGTGAGCCACAGCCAAGTGCTGCTGCAGCAGATTCTACATGGGTGAGAAGATACTCATAAATCTTCTTTCTTATCCCATCGATTGTCTCAGTCGAGATATGAGGCATCTCTTCATCCTTGCTAGATCCAATTTCATCCAACCAGTCATTCACACTCTTGAGCTGACTTAACATGCCAGCTATCTGACCATTATCTGACAAAGTCGACTCATCAACATCAGCATCCAAGAATCTTTCCACGAAACATAAGAACCAATTTTGCACTTCCGATTTCAACATTTCAGCGAAGTTGACAGCCTCATTAATACCATCTCCTTTGATCCACGCGACCGGAGGTGAAGTTCTTGTATTCTGATCAGCAGCCAGCCCATCAGCTAGCTGACGTGTAGTTCCTACTGAATTGTTCTTGGAGCTTGCTGCCTGTCGGGGTTTGGACAGGCTTTTCGATGCTAGGTTTTTAGAAGTGTTTTCAAGGAATAACACAGGTTGATGAACAGGATTTGTCTTCGGGTTTGGAGATAGAATTGATGTTACTGAGTTTGAGGTACCTGGTTTGCTGTATACTGTGAAGGATGACAAATTGGTAGCCAATGCAGCATTAACCCAAGAAGCTGCCTGTTTACGTCGCTCTGATGTGACCTTCAGTGCTTCTTTTGATGAATTTTCTTCATTATCTGAAGAATCAAATGTAATAGCTTTTGAAAAAGAATCAGCAACTAGTTGAGCATTATTCAAGTTTGAATGCAGAGCCAAAAACTCCTCCACAGCGGGCTGTGGGTTATCTTCTTTAGCAGAGGAACTCAACTCACAGTACGTGCTGAAGACATAAAAGATAACTGATTAGCTAAGGTCAGCACGAATCAAGCAATCTCTGGACATCTCATTTTTAGTACTATCATCTCATCGTGTCAATGGGGAATGAATTGCACAGATATTAATCACGAAACATTAGTCAAAATTGAAACCAGCACGGCTTGTGCATATTATCTATCAGATGAAAAAGATCTATGAGGAAGAAACAAAAATAACTTGGGCGGAGACCCTCAATATTACTACATTAAGTTTTGAACAGACTGTGCTTGACTACCAACCACTGAGCCTCATTTTTAGCGTTTAAAAGTCGCTCGGAGCAGGAGCAGGATCGGCTCCGGGTTCGGGTTTTACACTGTGCTCTGATACCAAGTCGTAATTTAGGAAGTAAATCTTGTATTTTGATTGATTGGAAAAATTACAAGTATACATGATAAAAAGGAAAAAGAGAAATTGCACTTTAGTCCCTAACAATTAAGAAAGACTACAAGTTGGTAACAAACAATATATATTTCAACTAAAAGCATAACTCTGTGAGGAAAAAAGTAGCAATTTGACTAGCCCACGTTGATGGGGGGTCTGGCTTCTCAAGATGAATTATCCAGTTCAATAATGCATAATTATCAGCAATCTTGACTGCCCAGAGTTCNTCCAGTTCAATAATGCATAATTAAACAGCAATCTTGACTGCCCAGAGTTCTATACAAAGTAATCACAAAGCTTCAATCTGTTCAAAGACAAACTAGAATTGCAATCATTAAATGTCTATATGAAATAGTTAGATCGATACATTAATAAAGGTTCATTAGGGCAAATTGCTACCACTCATCCTCAAGTTTCAAACGTTAATTCCAACCAGAATGGTTGAAACACAAGACATCGCAAAAGAGACAATTAAACTCGTATCTTCAAATCTAAGGTAGACCTCTTTCTATTAGCAACCACAAGTTTAAACAAGAAAGTTAAACAACTATAGGCAAAATCTTGTCATTCTTCTGTGCTAAACACACGTTGTAGGTCTATAATCTCTTTAAGGAGATAAATGACAGACCGTAAATAACAGGTGGGATATTCGTTACAGTGTTGGCTGGTATTCTGCACTAATGGCTTTTGTTTTTCCAATTCACTCTTTTTTTACTGTTAGTTTTTGAATTGATCCATGAAAGTATGTAACTCCTTAAAATTTCTTCATACACGTGAGCAATCGCTAACAAATAAAGCTCCTTCAAGCTAATTGCATTCTCGACTCTTGCTTTATCATTGCTCAAGCAGAAAAAGTATGGGAAAAAAATAGAAGTCTTGCAATGGAAGATCATTCTAATATGAGAGAAAACATGGCAATACATGCAGTTCTAGGAAAAGTGATGGCCTCGAGGAGTGTTTCCTTACGAGTTTGTACACCTGTTTTATTCTTCAAAGATAGGTCCAAGGTAAGTACATCTCACATAAATGTAGTGCATATGTTTAAAAAATTGAATACTTATTACTGGGTGACAAACAGCAATGAATAGTTCAATTAGAGACGATGTTTTCTGACAGAATGATGTTTGCTAGGTTGATATGGTCTCAAACAATAATCTTATCCTCTCAACATAACCCAGGAAACAACATTTAGTTTAATTTGTACTCTCGAACATTAAAATTCCTACACCAAAGAATCCAGAAATTCTAGAACTGTCGCTAAGCAAACCACCACAAGAATCCAGAGACGTGGGCAAGAAATTCACTTAATAACCAAATATCAATCTCTTTAATGACTTGAACTAAAGTACATAGGTCACTTTTTCAGAGATTTTCTTCAGGGAAATACCTTAAACACTGCAGTAAGCTTTCTTCAGAAGAAGCCTCTTGAATTGCTTCTATGGCAGCCGTTTGAGCAGCATCCCTATGTTTTAAGACTTCCTGCATATTCAGGATAGAGAATTTCTTTATCAGAAACTAGACTTGTGCAAATCCTGGTCACTTTATATATCACTTCATCCATTATTTATATTGTGAAACCAACAACAAAATTTATAAGCCAACAAGGGATCCCATTTTGTCAGAGGTAAAAGAAAAGGTTCTTAAGCCTAAACACACTCTATTTTAAGATATCTCCAACTTAATATACTGATCCATCTCTTTTTCTTTTACAACGGTAAGTCAATTACTGCTTAACGTCAATTCTCATAGCCTAAACACACTCCACTTCTTAAGATATCTCCAACTTAATATACTGATCCATCTCGTTTTCTTTTACAACGGTAAGTCAATTACTTCTTAAAGTCAATTTACATCAGTAACTATTGATAAAAAAGTGACTGACTTTAGCATAGTCATTAATGTCTGTTAAAAAGGAGGAAAGAAAAGCATTTTCTCAACTACCCCTTGTTCTTGTAAAAGTTGTATCACAGGAATTCAACTATAAGAAATGCTAAACCCTTATAGAAAGTTTCAGATTGAGATAGCAAAGGGATAAGGGTCCAAGTTGCAGAAAAGAGGCTAACAAATTGAAGTTCAATATAAAGATTGTACCTTCCCCAGCTTTATGAGCGAAGATGGGAGTGAGGACCATGAAACGCTTCCATCTGTTAATCTCCTGTTACTGGAAGAAACCTTTATGAAGTTCCCCGGTAATCCATGATTAGCAACCTCCCCAGATAACTTCTTCTCAACAGATTTCCGTGCAGTTGAATTGCCAAAATCAACTGAATCTCTGCTTGCAGAAGCTTTCTTTACAGATGCTGTAGCCTTATTGTCATCTATGGACGATTTCGAAGATATAGCCTTATTCTCTTCTTTAGATGGCAACCTTTTGCTTATTGATTTCCTCGGTACCTACACGGTAAGGGAAGTTAGGTGGAAAAGTCAGATTTATAATCCAAGGCCACAGATCAATAGGCATATCATTTTAATCTTGAGAAAACACAGGAAAAAAGAAAAGCAGCTGAATTCATAATTTAATCAAAATCTCTCACTTAAAGATTTTCTATGTTTGGACTTATTTTGTCCTACAACAGAGGCCATTTTTTTTCATCTTAATGAATAGTAAACCTGATAACAGGCAATTCATTACTCAGGTTAAGGCAAAAGTTATCAGATGCTATCTAATCAGTTTAATTTATCAGCACCATCATTGAGCTCCCTTTTTTTCTTGAAGCCATCAACTTAAATTGGGCATCTATTTTATTTCAATTTTCTTGGTTTTCTATTGCACTAACTTTTAAATTTCTCAAGTTAAAAATAAAAGATGCAAGAAGAAAAGAACTCACAGAAGTACTCCGAGCATCTGGCTTTAAGTTGTGCCTATTGACCTCCAATATGGGACTTTCCCTACCCTTTACGTCCATATTTCCTTCCCAGCTCTTTCTCAGTGCCTTTGGCCCCAACTGAAATCCTTGAACAAAGTTCTTCATCAAGCTCCCACTCGACACCTTCTTCATGGTCGGACTTGTCCCATGAGTAGAACCTACCTTTTCCTCTTGTTTCAATTCAGTGGGTGTCTTTTCCAACCTCTCCAACCCCTTGACCTTTGACTGGTTATTGACCCCATTTGCAAACTTCTCAAGCGAAGGTGGCAATAAATAACAGTTCGTGGGTGACGAGGGTATTGACCTCAAACTCGAAGACTTCGATTTTCTTACAGATTGGTTCTTCACATCCAAAGTCAAATCCACCTTCGATGACTGAGACCTAGATTGAGTCAATCCAGACACCTTCTTATCTATTCTATCTACTTTAGCACTACCATTCAATCTCAAGGAGGTGGATTTATTATCTTGCACCACATTATTGCTCAACAACTTTGAAAGTGAGTTGGATTTCCTTAATGATTTTGAACCCGATGACAAATTAGCATTGTTATTGAGGAAACCTAATGAATGAGTTGCAACTATATCTTCAGGGGTTCCGACACAAGGGTGGCGCCCCGGGACTGGCCTAACCCCTCTAAGAATAGGCACGGGTAAGGCAGCCTCAAGCCTCTCAACATTTAAAAACTGACCCAATTGAATCTTATCGCTAAGAATGAGATCAATGTGTTCATCAGGCAGAGACACATAAGTAGCATGGGCAGAGTCTGATACCTTAAGATAAAACCCTCGATTTGAGAAGAGATCACCACCGGTTAGTGCAGGTACAATGCTCACAACTTGCAATACAGATGACCTATGTTCCCCACCAACCTTTACATCTGTATTCATGTGCTGCAGTAATTTTAACAAAACTCCAGGGACCAATGTTGCCATTTTTTCTGTTCTACTTCTTTAGGCATCACACTTTGAGAAAACCGTAAATGAAAATTTCAAGATTAGGGTGTTATAATATTTCTGTTTTCATGACAAAAGAGCTTAAAATCCCTTGAGGCAGACTTTTCACAGACAAAACTGGGATAAAATTAGATCGTTACACACAACATATCCATAAATTAACATCACATTGTGAAGTTGAAAAAGAAATCAGATTTTAAAAAAAATCAAATCTTTTGGCAGGGCACTAAATAATGGTGTAAATTAAATGAGAAATTGCAGGCAATATTTAAGCAGAACCCAGATTGGAAAAATGAACAAGTTCTGGAAAAGTTGAAAAAGTGTGCTACAATCATTGATCGTCAGCAGAATTTAGGCGGGTTGAAAGGCAACTTTTGAGGGAAATTGTTACGGATTGCTAGTTTAGTGGAAATACACAATAATGAGTAGAAAAAAGTTGGGTTTATGAACGTGGGGGAACTGGGAAGAAGATTATTCTGTGCGAGACTTTAAAATAGGCAAAAGAGTATAATTGATGTAAAGACAGCATTTTGCATGATTGATATTGATGTACGGTGATGGTTATACTTTTGACAGATCATTTCTTGACCAAAGACTCCTGTATTTTAGTCAAGAGGAATAGAGTGAAAGATTCAAGGGTTGAATTCAGGTCAAACTGGATCGAAATGGTAGTAAAATAAATAAAATAAAGTTTTTTTTTAAAGTAATAAATCATTGCCAACTATAAGGGTCCGTTTGATAGACAAAAGTGGAATGAAATTCCAATTTCATGTTAGTTGAAAAATAAAAATCCACAAAATCCATATGAATTCGTTTTTCACGAAAACAAAGAAAATACAGTTTAAAGTGGTTGTACTTTGGAATTCGATTTTTATTTCTACGTTGCAATCAAACGGTCAAAGTGTAATTCGTTTTCCTCGAATATTATAGTTTAAAGTGTTTGTACTTTGGAATTCGATTTTTATTTCTACGTTGCAATCAAACTGTCTAAGTTTAATTCGTTTTCCTCGAATATTACATTTTTCATAAAATTCGTTGCAATCAAACGAGTTCTAAGCGAAATCAGAATTACCAGGCGAGTAAATCATTATTTAACACCTAGATCAACATAAACAAAGGAAGGGATTTCGTTGGGCACTTATCCCCTCTTGAAAAATAAAACAGCATGAATCAGATTATGCCCCTGTTTGGCACTCATTCTCATTTTTTTCTCTTTCTTCATTTCAACTATACATTCTTCCAATAAAATAATATTACACACAAATTTAAAACTTTTCATAACTTTTTCACCACACATTCTCTCATCAATTACTATTCCAAAAATTTTATTCTCCAAACATAGGGTAAAATTGTCAAGACATTTAGTTCATGTTTGGCACTCATTCTTTATCTCGTTCTCATTTTTTTCTCTTACTTCATTTCAACCACACATTCTTCCAATAAAATAATATTACACACAAATTTAAAACTTTTCATAACTTTTTCACCACACATTCTCTCATCAATTACTATTCCAAAAATTTTATTCTCCAAACACTAGGTGTCAAACACACCCTATATGTCTTAAGACAAAAATAACCAACAAGATATTGCCATTTGGAGCATGCCGAAAATCTGACTTCAAACTGTGAACCACGCGGAATGAATCACACTCAAACTGAAAATCTCAGTATTTGGCAAAATTTATACTCGTCTCTTTGCAATACCCTCCACATCTTCCACCTAGTATTTACCAAAATAACGCTTTGAAAATACTACTGAATGTTTTAGTTGACCTCTCTTGTAAATTAGGATAAGAATGAATTGGACCCTCCCACTAGTTGTGCCATGCCCAAGGGACCATAGGACAGACCGACTAGCATTTTGCCTAGACATGAGGCCTACTCGGGCAGTTTCCTTAATTTTGAAAATATTTGATTGAAAAGTTGATAAAAATCGTGGATGTAATTGATTTGACTTAATTTTTTTTATAAACATTTTAACTAAATCAAATAGGGCTTTAGGTGTTAACTTTTAGTCCAGTGAATAATTAATCTTAATCACACATTTCATAATAGTCCAGTGAATAATTAATCTTAATCAATTTTTGTCAAAATATATTAAAATTTTGACTTATATCTACATCAATGAGTTAAGTTTAAACTTCAACCGTGCTACACTTACACTATTCCTTACACATTTCTCACACTTTTCCACATGACAACATCAGTATTCTTAATTTCAAACTCATCTATCACATAATTGTACATGTGAGGAGAATGTCAACCAAATTGTCATGGTTGATGTCATATGACATTATTCTTAAATTTCAAGCTTGCTACGCTTACATTTTTTTTTACATCATTCTTTACGCTCTTCCAGATGGCAATATCTACACTCATGATTTTGAACTCGTCTATCACATCACTACATAGATTTCCCCCAAATAAGAAAATGTCAACCAAGATGTCATGATTGATGTACATATAACACTATTCTTAATTTTAATAACATATTTTACAGAATCCACAACTATTTAATTTTTATCAAAATTTACTAAAAAATCGATTTGAATCTCCATCAAACATGGGCAAAATCACAATCAATTTTAATTTTTCTATTTTTCTCTTGCATTTTAACTCTCCATCAAATAAGGGCGAAATATTGCATTCTTAATACCATTACGAAGTGTTCACGGTCTAATTTTCTAAGTCGTTAATGGCGTACGAAAAGATCAATCATAGCAAATGCTGCAACTTGTCAAATTAAGCCATTCAAAATTAGTATGTCGAAAATTTTGATAATATGCTAACTTTGAAAATTTTTCGACGATCGTACGCTAATCGAATCCGCAAAATTGCTCATGTCATCTCAAAATTTATTTCGAGAACTACAATATAGGCATATCAAATAATTCAAACAGATATCGAAAATAATTAAAATGCATTAAACGTGAGTTTTAAAGAAAAACGTTTAACTCGCATTTTCTTTTTAAAAAATTCAATTATTTCATTAACATTTGTTATTTTTGCAATAAAAATTTTTCAATATAATTTTCATTATTTTATTAGGAAATTTTATATGGAATATGACATAAATTTTTTTCGAAATTTTACATCTGAAAAAGTTATATCCCATGTAAATTTTTGGATGCAAAATTATATGGGGTATGATTTTTTGGGACGTAAATTTTCGACTGTAAAATTTCTCACAATTTTGTTACAAGTTCGATTGTGTCCCCCTAACTTTTAACTTCTGCGTCCGCCCCTGGTTGGCATGAAATATTGTTGTTCTTGAGATGCCTAAACATTTGGTGCAACCTCTGCCATGCAACTATGGCTCGCTGTTGGTCTTTTTCCTTTGCATGAAGCCGATGGCGCCTACATGTATACCCAAATAAATGATAATTAATGTTTAGTTTTTTAAGTATAGTGACAAATGGATGAATATACCTTTGTTTTCTTCGAACGCATCTCCAGTGGGCTTTTCTTTCAAAGTTTTTTAGGCATGTCCTTTCTCTCTAACTATTTAGGATAGCCTGTGCTTTGGCTAATAGTATTTTGTGATCCAGTACCTTATGTGGCTAATTGAATTCAATCCATTATCACATGTGACCGGACTTCATCGTCTACTGCAAGGTCTGTGTTCGCGTGAAACCTGTAAGCGTACGAGATCGTTGTACAAGTAATAAAATTTGTGAGTTAAGATTATCGTTCCCACGAAGAATAAAGTCTAATTTGTAGTTCAATAGTTACTATTAAATTCGAAGTGCAGTGATATCAAAAGAGATGATTTATATGTTTTCTATATTAATCATAAACTAACAAAACAAATAAAGTATTTATTTAATATGTAAATATTTGTATTGAAATGGTAAATCCCCATATTGTCATTTAATTCAATTCTTAATTTGTAATCTAGTAAATTCATGCATTTAAGACAATCTATAATCCACTGTTATTCAATATTCTTTTTCAAGATACATTAAACCTTATGTTTAACACGACTCGATCATATTCTCAGTTCGAATTCATATGAAAAACATGCATTGATTCACATGATTTATCACAAATGATTGCACATGCCATAGATATGATTCCTAGTACCTATTGTGTTATTTTGCTACGTTCTAGACTTATTGTGAGTATTCCTATACTACAACAAGCAACTTACTATCTAATTGGTGATCAAGCTATCAAATAGTTCAATGAGAATGCAAAATCAATCAAGAAAAATCAAGAAATACTAAATTAATTGTCTTAAATTAAAATAAATAAACAATAGGGTTCATCATTCATCTAATACAATGAAAAACATAACCTAACATTCTTATAATTAAATTATACAAGAATAATTGGAAAAATGTCACCTGAAAATAAAAAAGATGGAAGAAGTAGAAGAAATCCACGTTCTGGCTCAAATCTCGAAATCAGGTTATGAATTTTCAAAAATCTTGTATAATTCGCCTTGAATTGATGTATAGACTTGTTCTTCGCTTCCAAAATATGTAGAATATGATGAAATTTAGGTCGAAAGGAGGTCTCTCCACGTTCTGGTAGAGTTTGATATTTAAATGATGCAAAAGAGATTGCATTGAATTGTTACTAAAACAAAAGAAGAAAAAGGGAATTTTTTCCCATTTAGCCTTGAGGCACGCACCTAGTGCAACCTTGGGCGCGCGCCTTGGGGGTTTGGGAAGCATAATGCATGATTTTTTTGATTGGCGTGCCCCTCTCCTGCAGGCAAGGGCGGGCGCCTCGCTTAATTTCTGGCAGCTGAACAGTTTTGTCAAAATTTTCTCTCTCGATATCCGATTGAGGTGATTCAAAGTGCATTGGAAAGATAACTCAAAGATATACAAATATTCCAATACAATATTTCCAATTCAAACATTTCCTATGCCAAAAATGGGTCTCAAACTTGGACTGAAAATCAGAAGCATAACTTTTTCGATTGTAAATTGATATGTGATAGTACTTGTACTATATTTCATTATTTTGGCTTATTTACTAATCCAATTAATGTCTAACACTCTCAAATATTCATCTCGAGGTTTTCACGTAACTTTTGAATATTTGCATTTCAGTCCCCAACCTTTGTATTTGATACAATTGAGCCATTTTTGCTATCTTTGCATTCTTTCTCCAATTCTTCATCAAACATTGAATTTTACCTACAAAGAATGAAGCAAAGTGAAAAGAGGTAAATTGAGCAATGCATCAAAAGCATTCTTCAGAATTTCATGATGTCGAAACAATAAAGTCATGCTAAAGATTTTAATCAAAGCGCTTACTGTGAGACAACCCAATTTTTCTTCTATTTTATTTATTATACTTTCTAGTAATAGGATCATTTAGATTAGTTTTTTTTATTATTCAATTTTAGTGACTCATCATCTATACCCGTTTTCCCTTAGGTCTTTGATATGTTAGTGGTTTATTAGATGTTAGAACTAAATAACACTTGTTCCAATTTTTTGATCTTAATACTTTATTTGATTGTATTGCGCAGGAACATGATATTCCGAAACACTTAAACCAACAAAAACTAAGGAGCTAACGGGAGTAATATGAAGCTAGCCATTTGATTATAAACCATATTAGTGGAGTCTTTTCTTCATTTTCTTCGACATCCCTTTATAAACGGATTTAGAATTGACGACATTGAGGACAATATCTATTTTAAGTTTGGGGATGAAAAACATGAGTTTTTTGTGTATGTTTGTGTCATTCTTATGTTTATGTGTTTGTGTGTGCTTTTATTACATTAGTTTATAAATATAGCCCCCGTTTGGCCCCCATTATTCCAAATTAAAATGAGAAGAATAATAATTTTTTGAAAAATGTGTGGTTAAAAAAAAGAAAATATTTTTAGATTTACGAGTAATATTATTTTATTGGAGAATATGTGGTTGATAAAAAGAGAGAGAAAAATGAATTATAATTTAATGGGAAATAATGAGGGCCAAATGGGGGCATAAAAAAAATTGAAAATTTAAAAATATTTTCTTTTTTATGTGTTTGTGTGAGTTAGTTTGCCTGATTGACAATGAAAAAAATATTGAATTTTCAATTAATTTATGAATGGTGAATAAGTTGCATGCTTATATTATTTTTTGCTGTGAAATTTGATATATATTGAACACGTGAATTAATTTAAGAATGTGTTGATTTTATAGTTGGATATGTTGAAATAATGGACCATAGATATTAAATCTAAAATCACTAAATTTTACATCCTTGGATTTATAATAGTTTGTGGGATTTCACAGTTGTAGGAAGATGTTAAGATAAATAGGGATTCTATGTGTGAAATTAAAAATCTTGTATGGATAGTCTAAGGTCAATAGGATTCAATTGAGTGAAAATCTTACGTTAGAGGTCGTTTTACTTGGATATGTGTTTAACGAGGGACATTGCACTAATCAATGCATAAAAAAAAACACATTTTATTTGAAAATTTTCCTTCGTAGCCTTTATGACTCGAATTATTAAGTCTGTAAAGGTGTTAAAACATGTTGCCCTAAAGTCAACTGATTTGGGAGTTATCGGCCTAAAACTTGTTACATGGGTACATCATCCCCAAATGTCCCTTGCGAAGCAGATATGAGGTCGCGATAAAGTTTTTCCGTAAACTCGGCTTGAACTTCCGAAAATTTGGAAATGGTGTACACCAACTCAAATTGCTTCTCCACTTCGTATGTTGTAGCACATGGTACCATCTGTGAGAAAGACTTGAAATTAGACTAAAACTCTTTCACAACCTTATTAGTCATTCATATTGTTTGACAAACTGTTTTAACAAAGTCTTTGAATGTACATAACCGTCAAAGAAGGCATTCATACTCTCACTTTGTTGTGTTGTTGACGTCCCAACCTAAAAAGTTGTTTTGAAGTAGCAAGAAACCCAACGCTTTCTATTCTTATACAATCCCGACAACTAGTCATTATCATGCTCTCCAACCTTCATCAAATTGTTCAATAAATTGCGAATCATATACCAATCCATAAATAGTCGGAAATATCGAACCTTTATCCATGTGATGTCCAAACTTTTCAGGTAAATTCTTCTAAATATGCCATAAACACCATCTATGTTTCATATGAGGAAAAACAATCTAAATTGCATTTTGTATGGTCCTATCTTAATCGATAATTATTCCGTACATGCTTGACTATGCATGTACTGATGTCATGTCCTGAACAGCCATACAAAAGTATTTCTTGTCCTCGAACGATATCAAATCACAACCAAACAGTGTTGATTGACCTTAATGGTTTGCGCCAATGAAATGGCAAAAGACATGTCGTACTTATTGGTAAGGTAAGTAGTATCAAATGTGAGAACATCCCCGAACTTTTTATACGCTTGCCTACACTGATAATCCGTCCAAAACACATTCTTTAGCCGTGATTTGTCATCCAAATCCGTATTGAAGTAAAAGCCCGAGCATCTCGCTTGCATTTCTGAATAGTAGGACTGTATTGCCGCGACATCTCCTTCTTCAAGTCTTAGTAGCTGCATTTGTTCACTATAGTTCCGATAATCCTTTTCCACACATGTCATGTTCTCATACCTACCTCAACAATTGCAGTGTTATAACTTTTGTGTAACGAAATTCCTGTCATATCATTAACTTCAAGCTTCACATGTGCACTCAATTCTCTGATGCAGTGATACAATCTAGACTTCAAAGGACTTGTTTTATAATTGTGCTCGAGGTGGATTGTGTTAGTTCTCCAAGTACCAAGTACAGAGATCCTGGATTTAAACTCGTCTGAATTGTTGGTTGCGGTTTCAAAGAACCATCGGTATTACTACTTCTTTGGCCTTCACGGCTACATGTCAACGTCACATATCTCAAAACCCGTTCGTCATCATTTTTCAAATTTCGTTTTCAAACTGGAAAACCAACGGCATAAGCATATCTTTTGTAAAAGTCAAAGACTTCTTTTTCATCCTTGAATTTCATATCCACTTCAGGCACAATTGTATCACCTCCTCCAAACGTTTCATCTTCCACCATCTTCTCATTATCGGATCCACCAACAATTGAATAGCACATCGTCCATAATTTGTACTTCTGTGACAACATAAGCCATCATATTTAGCAATAACAAACCCTCTACAAAGTTAAATGGATACAAAATAATCATTTGAACGTAACATCATTGGAGTAGAGCAACCGAAATTATTTTTCATTTGTGATATTTCTTTCATTCATTTATTTAGTTTCTATCACACAATCATTTTTTCATGCCCCAAAACTTTTTTGAACTCGCACAAAATTAAAGCCGTGGAAAATGAAAACAAGATTACAGCAATATGATTTCAACAATATGAAAAAAGCAAAGTTCAATTTAAGCAATTTGATTATTTATTTATTTACATATTCCCCAAATTCGACTACAATCTAGAATTTCTGCAAATTTAAAAAAAACATCTATAAAAAGTTCAAATATCTTCCTATGTAAAAATAGAGGCATGAGAAGTGACGTAAGGAAACTTGTGTAATGGACCTGGTTGGCATTCCGAAATTTGTTGACCATGGTCATCGGCGTGAGCAGTGGCCGATGGGAGGAGTCACCAGCGTGAGAGTCGGGATCGAGATTTCACCATTGGTACGAGTATTTGTGAAAAATGGGCAACAATGTTTTATTGAAGCGAGTTTTGTGGTTCCTAATATTCATTTCCCTCCTTTTTACACTTACATTTTACTTTTTTTATGTTGACATGTCAGCATTTTCAAATTTCTGTGATGTACATTGTTGACACGTGATTGTACAATGAGCATTATGTACACCAAAAATCAAAGCTTTGGAATCACAAAATGAGAAAGTTTGAGCATCACAAAATGAGAAAGTTTGAGCACGGCTCAACTGCTGTAATTACTATAGTTAGGGACCTAGGTTGGAAATTCCCGTGCAATTGATACTTCATGCTCCCGTCTCTGTACTTCCAACTTTTTGGAATTTTGTTGTTCAATTGACAACGATATTTAGAGCTCATAAAAGTCTCTCTATCTCAATTCTTACTTCCAAATTTCTGTATTGTGATCCAAATGTTGGAAGCTATTCCACTGTTGTTCACACCCAAATGCAACCCAACAATTTCGCTTCATCCTTTTCGCAGAACTGTAAACCAGAAGCACCCATTTTTCAATTCAATTTCTTGCTCACTTTCCAAAAACTTCAAGATTAATGCTGCAAAGAAACATGATCAGGTTCCTGAATCGAAGCCACAGAATCTAGGTCTGAATTGTATGTGGGTCTTCTTTGTTTTGTGCTTATAAAATTGTAGGAAAACTGAATTTTGTATTGTTTGAACTGGGCAGATGGAGAAAATAATTCAGTAACTGAAAAGGGTAATGGTGAAGGGTTTGATTTTGGATGGTTGCCTGCTTTTCCTCATGTCTTGACTGCTTCCTTGTCCAATTTTCTATTTGGTTATCACATTGGGTAATTTACAAATTCCCTCTCTCTTTCTGTTGAGTTCTTGAATATATATGTATACATTGGAGTGTAAACATAAGGCTGATGATCCTTGAGCTTGACTTGGAGTGAGCTCATTAATAGCTTGTTCAAAGTTCAACTCAAACAATTGAGGGCCCCTTAAATTGATTATTGTACTCTAAAGCTCGATTGTAATAAACTCTCATATGATCTTAACTGAAAGAAACAAATATGAATTTGTGTACGTAAAAAAAAATGCTTGTTATGATGAAGCATTCACAAATTGTTTTGTTTTCTCATGGAAATATTTGTAGCCACATAAACATAACACAGACAGGGACCAATATTAGAAGGGGCTCATGTCCTAGTAGCACAAACTTTTTGGTTAAGTTCAGATCAATCAAGTGAATATAGTGAAGATTTATCCAAACAATAGGCTTCAGGGACTCCTGTTCATCCGTGATTATCTTGTCCAAATTCTAGTAAACAATTTAATTTGGTCTTGGATATTTACCTGCTATGCCACCACCCTAAGCAAAACATTTATTGTTACCTCTTTTTCTTTACTTCCCTTTTTTTTTTCTGTAACTATTTTGAGGGTTTTCTTACCACGCTATGCTCTCTTCCACAATGCAGTGTAATGAATGGCCCTATTATCTCCATCGCCAAAGAGCTTGGTTTTGAAGGGAATTCATTTCTTGAGGGACTTGTGGTGAGCATATTTATAGGTGGTGCATTTATTGGAAGCATAAGCTGTGGTTCTCTTGTTGATAAACTTGGTTGTCGTCGCACCTTTCAACTTGACACGATACCTTTAATTCTTGGTGCAATTGTAAGGTAATTTATTTTTGAAAGCTTTTAAGTCTAGCTGAATCATCTCTAGTTTATTTTCTCAATTTCATTGTTGTACATAAGTTTAGAAAATGTTAAATTGCTTGAATTTTGAATAGATTATAGTGGAAGTTACCTTATACCTTCGTAAGGGATAATGTTAATTGGGTAGGGATTAACACGCTTTGGAGCTCTCTCTAATAGGGTATGATGTATGACAACTCTAAAATAAAACCTTTCATTTAGACATTTGTTTCTGAATTCTTTAATATGTATTTGGCATTTGATGAATTAATTATGAAATTTAAATATAATCATGTTTTGAGTGGAGAGAAATTGGTTTGTGAAGTTTGTATGTATGTGCATCGTATTTGAGGGAAAAATAAGCAATATATAAGCTCCGTAAAGGCATATTACACATATACCCATGTAGATACACACAATTTATAAATGGTAGACTCTGATCAAAAGAGAGCAAAGTTTCAAGATGATACTGTTAAAATATCTACCTGCAAACCAGTTGTTAATGATTAGAAAGGTTGCACAAGTTGATGTACTAGTTTGAGAAGTGTTATTTAGTCAACCTGAGACAAGCTCTATACTCTTCCTCACGTGACATCCCACTTGCATGTGATTAGGTGAATTGAAAAAGAAGAATAGATGTGAAATACTGTGAACTGTGATGGCTGCTGCTTATCATTTTATTAAGGCCAACAAAATCTCTTTGTGAATGTGAAATTGTATATGATTTTCAATATCAACTATCCATGATTTGGCAAGGCAGGAATCAGGGGCAGGGACAGGTGGGAAAATGGGGTGAATGGAGAGAAGAAGGCAGAGGCGTAGGCTGGAGCCAGCAGTGGGGGCAGCAGGTGGGGTTTGGTGGGGAGGGGTGGTTTGGTTTTTTTCTTTCTCCTTGCCCTTTTATTTACTTTTCATTGAAAATAAGTTTTCAACCATTTTAGCACTGAAAAAGTAAGTCGTGTGACAATTGCATGTACATTTAATGGAAAATGGATGGAAACGGTCCACTCGGACCTAGGTGCTATAAACTTTAAAGGTTGGGGGCAAATTTGCCTGCGAAAAGGTCGAGGACATGTTTGTACAAATTAAATGGGTTTGAGACCCATGCTGCAATTTTCCCTTAATTTTCCAAATAGGTTGAAACTAATAAAATTAATAAAATCTGAGTGAAGAGAAGGACAAGAATTTTACTACATGAATATGATCACCAGGAACTCTTTGAATTCCAAAACCTCTACATTGGGTATTGGAAGTTCCAGTTTATCTTCTGTTGCCCCTCATTTTTTTTGTTGTTTTACTATTTGACATTTGACCTCATAATTTTTGACAGTGCACAAGCACACTCGTTGAATGAAATACTATGCGGGAGATTTCTTGTTGGCCTTGGTATTGGCGTGAACACAGTTCTTGTTCCTATTTATATTTCAGAGGTATGAATGAGTAACTACATGCTGCCTTCTCGAGAACAATATTCTCTATGTGGATTGTATGATTTCAAGATTTCCACTTGTGAAGTTGCATACATGTTTTCTGTGGATGCTTTCTGTCCCTCTGAAATCACAGACTTTACTGTACTTCTTGTTCAATCATTCAAGCTTTGTACTCATGAAGTTGCATTCATATTTCCTGTGGATGAATTCTGTCACTCTGAAACTCCCAGACTTGGTGTTGGTGTGTTCTACCATACTTAGGTATACTCATGTCACAACCTTTCAATCAATATCTGGTGGCTCGTACCTCCAGTGCGATTAAAGGCTATTTTTACTATATTACATACAATGCATAATCTCTCACAACACTCGATTTCTTCTGCGTTTATTATATTTATGATCTGTTGGCAGCCACCCAAGGTTATAAAAATTGAGATCCCTGTAGGAGGATCATTTGAATGATCTTGATTCTTGAGGATTAAAGTTAGGATCGCAAATCCTAACAATTGTCATATCAACTGTTCAATCTAGTTATGTAAGGCCAAAAATGATTGCAATCTTAGAGGTCCATAACAAGTTGAGACCTTCCACAGAACGAAGATCTGTTTAATGGTTTTGAAACATAAGAACTGAGGAATTTAATTTCAGAATTTGGATCTAGATTTAAGCAACCATGCTTCAGCACCCTGCCACTTCTTTCCAATCTTCATATTCAATCCACTCTTCCAGCATCACTTTGCCGTCTTTCTTCAAATTGTCATAGACGGGAACCCTTGACTTCTGCTGGTGCCTCCCCATCTTCAGAACAACTGAAGTCTCTAGGTCCTTACTGCATTGGGCATTTTTGAGTAAGGTGATTGCAATCATTTCAGGAAAAATAAAAAACAATGAACTTCCTACTCTCTTCTCAAGTAATCAAAATATGGTTCCTAGAGGACTCTGTTTATGGTAGCTCCTATCTAAAAAACTTATGCAACTATTAAAAAGAAATATAGTTTGATGAAGACGCATGGAATTTAACACTTTGTGTGAAGATTTTATGTGATTTTGCCATCACTTCTGTTTCCTTGGGGTTCTTGAAGGTTGTGATTTCATGACCATAGTGGGTGAACAAACGCATAACAGCAAATGACAATACCAAAATACATTAGGCCATGTCTCCATGACAATGTATCTATATTTGCATGTTGCAGGGCTGATAATTTGTACATTAACCATTGTCAGTCACTTATATAATCATCTTCCATACTTATTTTGTAGGTTGCTCCAACGAACTATAGAGGTTCATTGGGGACCTTGTCACAAATTGGCACATGCCTAGGAATTATTATATCACTGTTTTTAGCATTCCCTTCAGAAAGCGATCCCCACTGGTAAGAACCTTTCCTGCAGTGGCTATTAGGGGATTGAATACTGCATATGATAATCTTTCACTCTCTTCAGACAGTTGTATCTGCTTACTTTTGGAATTTCCCTCCTTCAATATTTATTTATTTATTTTATTCACTTTTCCCCTGGGAGAGTGGTGTGTACTATTGCAATTTCAACAGAACATTGAATTTAATAATATATAAAAAGAGGCATTAAATATTTTTTTCAAGGTTTGCCAATTACATTTTTTTTTTTTTTTGCATTTTCTTGCTACCTTATTCTTTGCATGTTTCTGGGAGTGGAGTTTGAAGCATTATGTTTTTCAGGTGGAGGATAATGCTATACATTGCCAGTATCCCTGGCTTTGCTCTTGCACTGGGTATGCAGTTTGCGGTTGACAGTCCCCGCTGGCTATGTAAAGTATGTACTGTTTCATTTTTTGATATAAAATGAAAAGTTTGTTAAGAGAGAACTAGAGAAATCCAAACAAAGAGGAAACTATAACCCTAAGTTGCATCTATTTATTAAGAAAGCAATTCCAGCTCCTTCATGAATCGATCAAAGATGTCCTGGGTGAAGGCTTCTACTGTTCTACAGGCTTCTTCCTATGAGATGCGAAGAAGACACTCAACCCCACAGAAACGACAATAGTAAATTGTTGCTCTATGCACTCCTCGATATCCAAGTGCACCAAGTAATTGCCAAGGACGTCAAAGTAGTTTAACATATTTATTACTCCCAAATGTCTTAGAATTTGTTGAGGAGTGAAGAATTATGATGACCTGCTTTGAAATCATGAACAATCTGTTAATTTCCCTGTGCAGTCAATAATTAAAAATATGAACCAGTACCGCAGATCATTAGATGGAGCATCTTAAGAATTACAGAACACGTAAAAGGTTTACCTTGGAGGTAAATGTATTTCTATGTGAAGGAACATAAAAGAAATAGCTTTATCTCTGCCTTTGAACAAGGATTGCAAAGAAGGATATGCAAATGAAAACTCGTTTACCATCTAGGTTCTAAATCCTACTATTTTGAGAAGTGGAACGTTAAAAATTTGGAAGGATAAAAAAACCATTCATCACCTCATCGTTGAGATTTCATATTTTCTATAGTCCTTTGTGTTCCTAAAGTCATTGGGGAACTCTGTAGGCAGGGAGATTTGATGATGCTAAAGAAGTTATAAATAACATCTGGGGGCCTAGGGAGGTCGAGAAAGCTATTGAAGAATTTCAATCTGTCATTAGGAATGATGGTGCTGACTTGGACAGCAGTTGGCTGGAACTACTACAGGAGCCACATTCTAGAGGTTGTATCGACGGTATTTTTGAATTTCATGCGTTAATTTTCTTTGTGCTCTCAATCTTATCTGATTAATGTTATTCATTTAAGTGAAAGTGTTCGTACAGCTTTTCAGAGGCCTAATGTAGCACATTGTCCCACTTTGCATTTGTTCTTTGAGTGTTTCAGAGGGACTTGAGTTTACTACTCAGACCAATTGGTTAAGCTCCATTAGATTTCCAGGCTAGTAGAATCATGTGAATTGGTCACCTATTTCTATGATTTCTTTAGGAATTCCTTGTCGCGGTGCTTTGTAGCCCACTAATTCTGAGAAGCGTTATGTCTCTTTTGAAAATATAGACGAATGAGCACAGATGAACTCCGGAGAGAAATTTAAGGAGTTACTTTTTTTGTCGCTGCTCTGAAATTTACCATTATCAGCATCTGAAGTATAATACCTTATTCAAAACTTCACTCCAAAGTAATTAGGCCTATGTAATTCTATGGTTTGATTAGCATTGCTATATTGCATTTGACTATGAGAAGCACAATCATCCTGAGTTGTGTGACTTCATCTTTATATTCTACATGAATGAGCAAATTGGATCTCCAGCACTAATATTTTAACTGTTACATTTTTTTTCACTGCTATAATATTGACATTTGTCAGTGTAACAGCACCCGGTTTTTTGACACGTTTATAAAAAGTATGCTCCAAGGAAATTAGGCCTGTCTAATTGGAAGCAAACAGATGCTATCACAATTGCAACCAACCAATTTGCAACTGAAAAATGTAAATCATACATGCTACACAAAATGGAAGAATGGAATCCAAAAACGACTTGCAGGATAGTGAAGTGAAAATTGAGTTTCAATACTATAGGTTAGATAAGTGAAATTGGGTCACTCATACCCATTCAAGTTTTGCTTGTATTCCAGGATATTCTAGGATGATTCAGAATTTGGTAGATAGTTTAAATGTTCCATTGTAAATGTCATAGGGTATTTTTGTGCAAGATAGAGAGTTGCTCTAGACCATTGGATCAAATAAAAATTCGCCCTTTAGATGAAGAGATGGTGACTGTAGATCTGTGATGCTAGGACTCTCCATCCTGGCCGGAGTACCCGTGTCGATACGATACGGGTATGAAATATGGGACAGACACGGTACTTTTCAATAGGACACGGCATGGTGGAGAAAAGTGGCGGCGCTAAATTTTCCCTTCTTCTTCTTTCTTTCTTTTTTTTTCCTTTCCCTTTTCTTCTTTTCCTTTTCTGTAAACCTAGCACCACTGTCGAGAGGGTGGAGAAAGGCGGCGGCAGAGAAAGTAACGATTAGACACCATAGAGAAAGATCATCCATCAGTTTATATGCACATATATGTAGAAAAAATGAGAAAGATAAGCCGCCTGAAAAACCAAGAAGAAGAAGACGCCGGCCAAGAGAAAGAAGCAGTAGTATGCCTTTCCAAATTATTCCCGTTCTTGTGACTGGGATAACCTTCTAGGTTAATAGCACTATTGGGCTTTTATTTCTATGCATGTAGGCCTATGATTTATGACTTTGTTTGGCCCCTTTATTTTTTATTTAATGAAATAATTATTAAAAAAACAATGAAAATATGTTTTAAAAAAACTCTTAAACTTAATATTAATTTTTGAAGTATATATTTATACAATAATTTAGTATTTTAGTATAAATTTCTAGTTGATTTTAAGTGACATATTCTATCTTTTAACAATTTGTTCTTAGTTATTATTTAACTTTTTACACGTGAATTTCAAGAAAAAAAATTGAAGCTTGAAAGACGCATCTGCGTACTCGTGTCCAAAATTTGGACTTTTTTTAACGTTATCTCCGTATCCTACATTTTAGAAAATAAAAGATTCGACACTTAGATACGTACTCGTACCCGAGTCTGAGCATCATAGTTATAGATAGGGGCAAGGGGCCTCGTTAATAATAATAAAGTTGGAGAGTATGAACTTAACTGAGCATTCTTTTTCAAACTCTCCCATCCTTTGACTTTAGATCTTATTTATATCCCCTATTAGACTGTGGTAGCTTCAAATTAGGTAAGCTAACACGTTGTAGTGTTGAATATAGGACAACACTCGATTGCCACCAACCAAACTTGGGAATCACTTAGCTGACTTAGTTTGGGCATCAAGAGCTGATTTTGTGATAGTTAAATTCCACAGTCCTTGAAAAGGTCACATCTATGACATTAAGCTCTTTTAAAATGCATGCTTCCATTATGTAACTTCGATGTAGAAATTCAATTCTACTTAAATTTCCATTTCATTGCAAAAATAGCAGTCTACTTCTCTGTGTTCTAAGTGTCGCTTATTTAGGTTCTGAGAAGGGTACTTCTAAAGTTATGATTTTGTTCCTCCTGGTGTAATATTATGAGAAATGATGTATTTTCAATTTTAAGTTATGCCAGCTCAAATATAAAAGCAAGTGTGCGGTCTGCTCCTATCATGTCTTTGCCAGCACGTTGGCAATGCTTATAAAGGAAATGAGTTTAATCCTAACACTTAGGTAAATGCCAGCCTAAGTAAAGTCGAAGTATGTGGGGTCCATTTGTAAATAACATCTTTTTTTGGTTCGTCAAATCGTTGTGCTTGCAAATGTGTTAACAAATAATCATTATAGGGATTTGATTGTCATTTCCTTGCTGTATACTTCGGTCTACTTAAAATGGCTAAGTTAGGGCTCGTTTGGCAGGGATTCTACTTTTGCTTTTACTTCTTGTAGAAGAGCTTCCCAAGGAAGCTATCTTAAGTCAATTTCCTCTAAAAACTCTTCTAGTCATACAAAGAACTTTCAAAAAATTACGCAAATATGTTCAAAAGCATCTTTTCTTAGTATCGGAAGTAATTTTTAACTTTTCAAAAGCCTTGCCAAACAAGCCCTTATAGGATAAATAGTAATGTCCCCAGCCTTTCATTTCATTAGCAAATCTATCCCCAATCTTGGTTTTAGGACAATTGTATCCCTAACCTATGTTTCGGCAATCTTGAAGGGTTTAAAAGATAATTCAATTGGAAAACTCTATTTTCAGCAGGACTCACTAAAGAATATTGGTTTCTTCCTCCTTTGAAAACATGAGAAGTGGAACTTTCATATTTAAACAAGAAATATTTGACGAATCCATAATCGAATTTTTCTATACGATGTAGGACATGAATTATCATTTATAGAAGAATGTTGTTTAAAGTCCAATAAGAGTAGGAGAGATTTTTCAAAAAGATTATTTAAACATCTAAAACATAAGAGAGATTAAGGAAAGTTTTAGCATAACTTCACGCAAAGATTTCGAAAAAGAGTCTGTACAAGATTTGTATGTGAAAAAGGGAATGGTATTTTGTCGTCTTATTAGATTTTGGAATTGAAAATGAAGGAAACATTAATGTCTAAAAGATTAAGTTAAGTGTTAAGCATAGTGTTTTGCCAACTTTACCCTTCCAAAAAAAACTTCCGAAACATTAGGAAATCAACCTTGAAGTTTGTAGAATTATGTAAAAAGACTAATTATACAAATGGAACTAAAGGTTGGGGTTGAAATGCCCTTTTTTAGAGGATGGGGATGAATTTGTTAGAAACACTAAAAGATTGGGGGCCAATTTCACAAATTTCTCAAAAGAAAAAGAAAAATGAAAAAATTAACCTGGCAACTGGGAATTTAGCACCCATGTTAAATACGCCGTTACGTTTAAATGGATTGTGCATGTGTTTGCTTTGATGGAAAAATGTTATCCCCACTTAGTAACGATTAAATGTGGTCTTATCTAACCGGTTAAGTTTTTAGATCAAGTAATTTAACCCACCTCAAATGCAAGGCAAGTGGGTGGCCCACTCCCATCATGTTTCTTTTTCAGCACATACCAGCTCTATCTGGTGGCAACGCTGATAGATAGAGGAAAGGAGTTTAATCGACTTGGGCAACTGACTTGCAATTTGTGTTAGTAAGTAACCCTTATAAAGATTTAATTGTCATTTCCTTATGGTATACTCTAGTCTACCTAAAATGGCTAAGTTAATTGTGTATTTTTAAGAGGAAAAAATCTGCCATACTAGTATAAAAAGAACCTAAAAAAGAGAGAATGAAATTGGTGTCATCATAAATTTTTTGTTAACATTTCTATTGGTTTAGTTCTCCACTTCCATTTATATACAAATGTTGCTAGTTTAGAAGGCAAAAAATCTTTGGAGAGGTAGAATAGATTTTTGTATGGTGGAATAACGATTCAGCAGATTAAAAGTTTAGTAAGGAGTGTAAAATTGTAGTAGAGGTACATATTCCTATATTGGGAGAGGTATACTTGGAAATGGTTGAGCTCTACAAGGCCTCTTTATTTGGAAAGTCATTTCCCCAAGAGTTGCCCAAGTTGGGACCATGAGATGATCCTATGAAGATTTTTGTCGTCAGGCGTGATGTTTTCTGGATTTTTAGACATGTTCTGCACTTTCCAAGACCTTTTAATTATTTTCCCTTATGGTTCTCTGAAGTATGTGGACATCCGGAATGGGCTAACTGCTTGTGAGTCTAGTGGACTTGAGCATCCTGGCAACAGAAACTTGGTTCAGTTGGTCTCATTATATATTTCTTGTCTTCAGTTCTTTGACATGGACATAGTTTCCTTGGGAAGATTTAAATTTAATGTGTTGTAGAGTGTTTTGGAGGAGTTATCGACAAACTTGTGGCATCAAGATAACATGTAGTTGCGATATCAGTTGGTCCCTCGTATGGTATATTTATCATCTCACTTATATCTCAAGTATTGTCATATTTTATGTTGTGGTTGCAGTGGCATTTATCGGAGGTGCTCTATTCGTACTTCAACAGTTTGCTGGTATAAATGGAGTTCTCTATTTTTCGTCCTTGACTTTCAAAGATGTTGGAATCACAAGCAGTGCTTTAGCTAGCTTATATGTTGGACTTACCAACTTTGCAGGTCTTGAATTTATCTAAACAGACTAGCATCCAAATTATTATACAACCATTCAGGCCTTATATTTTTATGTGAGTTAATTTCCAGGAGCACTTTGCGCTTCATATTTGATGGATAAGCAAGGGAGAAAGACACTTCTGGTTGGAAGTTACTTGGGAATGGTAAAGTTTTCTCTCCCTCTAATGAAGAGAAGGAAAAGATTGTTATGCAACACATAAAGGCAATGCTTTGATGTTATTAAGATATATTGCACTGGGATGTGAAAGTAGTATTTGGTCGAGGGCAAAATTAGAATCTTGTGCGCGCTTCAGGAGGCCAATCTGATACTATTATTCTTTCACATATAGAACAACAGACTAAGCTTAAATTTAGCGAGATCTTTTTTGAAACTTTGTTCGATCAATCGTACATACCCTGGAAGATGTAATGCAATCAAATTCTTTCAAACCACATCAGGCCATTTAAATATTGATCTACATCTCTGCCTTCTAACCTGTTATAGTGAGATGCCATTGCTCTTGTCAACAAGAGCTCCTTTAGATCTACGGAAGAAACTAGCCTCAATTGGTTTCTCACCTCCACTTGGTGATGTGTATTCTCTCGCAAATAAGTTATTTTGTTCAGTGCATATTTGCGTCGTCCTAAAGAGGCCCCGTTCATAAGAGTGACGCTACCTTGGTAGAGAAAGTTAGAAGAGGGGGGGTTAGACCAAGATTAACTTGGCTTGTGATGGTTGCTAAGGATCTAGTTGCTTTAGATATCCTAGTAGATCTAGCAACGACAGAAACAGAATGGCGAAGAACAATTTTATGCAGCCAACTCCAAATTTATTGGAATAAGGCTTAGTATGTTGTTTTATTTGAAGTTCAGCAAATGAACATATGGACTAATATCAACTGATCTGTTTTTTGCAGGCAGTTTCTATGTTCATCATAGTTAGTGCTGTCAGCTTTCCTATAGACAGAGAGATTGGCAGCAACTTATCTATTCTGGGAACAATCTTGTATGCCTTTTCGATTCACGAAATGTTACAAATAAGCAAGTTTAATACTTGTAAAATCGTTATACTCTTTCCAACTTCATTTTCATTTCATTCCCACATGTTAATTAAATTAGTTACTTGCTGTGGTCATTAATGGTCTGTACTTACCTAAACAAATAAAAAATAGGACATCCGAAACCGTGTACCGTTCTTAATCAGGGAAAATAATTGTAGTAGTCCCCAATCTTTGGCGTGTGTTGCACTTTGGTTCCTATTGGACGATTTTTCACTTGTCTTTAATTCAAGTTATTTCTTTATTAAAAAGACAATTTTTTTTCACTGCCATCCCCATTCTTGAATTACCAATTTCTCCGTCCCAAATAATACCAAACGAACGGAAATGTTTAAGGTGAAAAGATATATATATTTGAAGGTGGAGATTTTTGGATTTCCTATTTAACAGTCTCTTAGAGCACCAATCTTGATGCAGGTGTTCATGTGACATGGAATGATAAATGTATTTTATTTCTGAATAATGTACAGCACCAGAATCAATTGATTCTAGTGAGTGTCTCTTATTTGTTTTTTATATATTCTTTTCTGTTTTCTTTCTCAAATCCAACGTAAATACTATATCTGAGCTGGGGTGGTGTATGTACTAATGCAGTCTTAGGACTCATCTATTACAGTTGAAACAAACTTGGAGGCATGGAGTTTGAGGTGTGGATTCTAATTCTATCTAAGGGGTGGCTTTCCAGTGGTGGTTAGTTAGTGATTGGTAGAGGTGGGGTTTGGGTGGCCGGTAGTGGTGGTGGGCCAACAGGAAAGATAGGTTGGTGGGGGGATGTTGTGAAGATGAAGAAGATAATTATTTTCCTTTTTTGTATATTTGTTTATTTAAATGTAAGGGTAAATTTGTCTTTCTAATAAAAATTTGACTTGTTAATTAGAGACAAATGTAAATCGTCCAAAAATTATCAAAGTGCTACCAAGATGAAAGGTTGGGGACGTGAATGCTCCTCTTTGAAGGTTGAGGATCTTTGCTGCTATTTTCCCTTTATCATGCATGTTTTTTTGGGTTAATATTATCTTATCATGCGGCAATCCATTCATCTTCTAATTTCAATGCATTTCGGTTAGTAGAGCTATATTCTTAATCATCTACATACATAGTTCTATATTTTGAATTTTTTTTGTTTATTCTTTGTTAAAAAACATGTCTAGTGTATTTCATGCTTCTACATCTTCCTCAAATTGGGTGCATTGTTTCTCAAGAAATCCTTGCAACTTTTAGTGTCCAAAATTTTTTGCCGTCTCTGTTTGTTTTGGGACTTTGTTTTTCACTTTGAGCTTTCCCTATAGGTACATATTGACCTTTGCGATTGGAGCTGGGCCGGCAACTGGTCTTATTATACCAGAGCTTAGCAGCAACAGGACACGAGGGAAAATCTTGGGCTTCAGTTTCTCTGTTCACTGGGTAAGTATGAAAATGTCTACCTCATGTGATCCCAAATGAAAATAGAGCAAGTATCCCATGTTTGCTCGTAGCAGTAAAAGAAATTAGATGGTCAATACGAACTGCTCCCCCCAACCCCAACAAATAAATAAATAAAAGTCCACGCTTGCTTGCTTGCTTTTATATACTTGAATCCCTTGGTTGGTTTAGGTTGGGGGAAGAGAAGGAACAAATGATGGAGAAAAATAGAATGAATGTGCATTCCTCGTTCTATTCCCAGACCATCATTTACAATTTGCCAAGACTTTTTAAAATTATAGCATGATTTATAGACAATTAAGTTCGTGAGCAATTTTGACTGACGACATATATCTACACTCAAATGAATGGGACATGATGAATTCCTGTGTCTGTCACTGATACCTGCAGCAGCATGTGCCTTCTAATTCTTCTTGTAAAATCTATTTGTACGTCAATATTTGTTCTTTATGGTAACTCCAGGTCTGTAACTTCTTGGTCGGCCTATTCTTCCTTGAACTTGTGGAAAAATTCGGCATTTCTCCAGTTTATGCAGGCTTTGGTGGCGTTTCCTTGTTAGCAGCAGCATTTACGTCCTCTTTTATAGTTGAAACAAAAGGACGATCTCTTGAAGAAATTGAGATATCATTAAATGCCGGTTTACAAGGCAGAAAATAAATCTTAACATAATGATCTTGGTTCAATGTGATTTTCCTGCCAGAGAAGAATCGTGCCTGAACCGAGTTGCAGCACTGAAGGTTCATGGTTTTCCCACCGGTATGTTTATCAGCAAATTTGGTAAGAGACAAGGCAGTTCTTTTTATATGTCGCTCAATCAGCATTGTACATATCCTTTATCTCCATGAAGATGATAATGCTCCTAATCTTAATCCTTGTAAAGTTGTATGGGGAAAAGAGTCAATTTCTCGAAAACCCGTAAATCTTAGGGGTCATTCTCTTTGGCGTTTTCCGATCGTTCTGTTTTTGATTTTCAAAAACAGTGAAAACGAGTTCATTTTCCTATTTTCGAAAATGCGTTTTTGAAAACGAAAAAATTTTTTTGTACACAAAACACCAAAACGAAAAACATCGTTTTGGACGTTTTCAAGCCAAACCAACGAAAACAACCATCGCAAAATCGCTACTAGAATCGCGACCCAACCATCGCAAAATGTTGTAATTTCATTGTCAATGAATGTTGTAATATTGTATCCAAAATGGTGATCCAACCATTGCAAAATCGCCACTAGAATCGCAACCCAACCACAGCCACCGCCTGCACCAACCATCGCTAAGTTGCAACGCAACCATCACCGCTCGCAACCCAATCAACCATTGCATCAAAGAACGAAAAAAATAAAGATGAAGGAGATCGCAGGGAGTGTCCAACCTAAACCACTACTGCGCCGCTCGCAGGGAGCGCAGGCGATTGCATGAAGAGGGGAGAGAGAGAGATGGGCGACGACCCAAAATGAACTGGAAATAAAGAGACAAAGAACACGTTTTGGTTTTGTTTATTTTCGTACACAATTTTTCAAAATGTTAAAAAGAAAACATTTTCAACAATCTCAAAATAAATTCAAAACTCAAAACACAAAACTGAAACACGAAGAAAAAAACAACTCTAGAAGTTAACGTTGGCAGCGGTTCTTTTTAAACTAAATGACATCAGAAGGTGAGAAGGTGAGGATATACGTTTGCTTTATAATGTTGTAATTTCATTGTCAATGAATATTTGTATCCAGAGTATGCCTGAATAGAAATAAGACATGAGACCAGTTTAATGCTAACATGAGAGAATAGGGGTTTTTTTTTTTTTTTTTTTTTTTAGAATTGTCAATGACTCGTCATTGCCACCAAGCAGACGGAACACCACAGCGATAAATAATAGCATTCTGCACAAGATATGTGGCAGCCCTTTCCCCATATTCGGCGAATAGGTAGAAATGATAAACCACCAATAATTTACATTGGGGACAAAAACATGTATATATCAATTGCAATCTCTCAATCAAAGTTGTCAAATTCTCGTTTGAATCAAGAAATCGAAATCTTAAACTCATAACACGTTAATAACAAGTCTTTCAAAGCATAAAAAAACTCTCCTGGAGAACGCTCTTCAGATGGCACATTTCAGCTCACAGGTCTTGCACGCTCAAACCTGAGGAAAATAAAATATTTCATATGTCAATGTTGAAACACATGGTAACAATCAATTACATTGTAAAATTATGAAGAAACCAACACATGAACAAATCAAATTTCCCGTCTAATCTCAACATAAATTCAGGATCTTACATGTATTCTAAGATGAAATATAATATATTATAATCAGTTCAACCAAGCATGGAAATGAGGTTTGGTCCATAAATCAACAGACCTGGAGGAAGGGATTGCTTCAATTTGTCAGCCTTCTCAGGATCAAAGACGCAGAGGGTGTAGAGGTACTTTGAGCACCGGACCTTGAACTTCACAACATCCTTGCTCCTCTTGATCTTTACAGAGCGTGCATCCTTCCTTCTGGCAGTGAGAAGGAAGTCCTTAATCTCGTGAATCTGCTTAGGCTGAGCATCATTAAAAAACGAGCAAGTTAGTAAAACAGAAGCAAAAAGGAAATCCTTGTTTACAAGTTCCTATTAAATCAGAACATCTCAGAATTGAGCAGAAACCAGAATAAATAAAC